TCATACTAATACTAATACTAATACTAATGCTAATGGTAATGCTAATGCTAGTACTAATACTCATACTAATACTAATACTAATACTAATACTAATACGAGTACGAATACGAATACGAATGCTAATGCTAATGCTAATACTAATACTAATACTAATTCTAATACTAATGCTAATCCTATACCACCGGCTACCGACTTATTCAGGGGGGTCGTTATACCTTGAACCCATGATCAAGTTTATGGAGGTTAGACCTTGACAGCGGGGGGGGGGTTGTTAATCAGGAACCCGCATTACATGTCATGACCCGGTGATCGGGGCATTTGGGGCTTTGGGAGTTGACGGTCGGTGCCCTGGCCAATTGCCAGTCCAGGCGAGTACTGGCTCGCGCTCTCCAGCGACTGCAGCACCTGCGTAGATCCTGTTGACGGCCAGGAGAGTCTCTGGGCGCGCAGCGTACTGCCTAAGGTTAGGAGCAGCAGCAGCAGGTAGCAGCAGCAACGGCATCATCATCATCATCATCATCATCATCATCCTCATCAATCACCATCACCATCATCATGGTCATCATCACCAATCATCAGTATCATCATCGTCGTCGTCATCATCATCGTCGTGATTGCCATCACCATATTCCTCATCATGGTCAGGTTAATCATTTTCACCACTGCATGCCCATCACTAATGAGGTCTTATGGTTCGGGATTTTCGATTTCGCACCCAGCCTTCCTGATCAAGAAAAGTAAGAGGACAGACCAAACGTGCAGATATGCAACTTTGATTACATCTCTGTGTATGTTCATTGTAAGGTATGTGCATGAATACACGTGTCTGTTTCGTCGCCTAATACCAGTTGGAAGACACACCGGGCAGCGCCGTACACCACAGCACGGTACATTGCGTTGAAGCAGACATTATTGAAGTGCTTCTTCACTCCTTTATGTGTGCGTGGATAAGTGGGACAGTAGTGTCCCCAAGACCATAGCTTCGCCGACGGGGCTTCTTTCTTTGCTGCAGAATTGCCCGTTGGGGATTTCGGGTGTATTGGGTTTGGTGATTGGGGCCGCCAGTCGCGAGTATTTGCCGCTTGGACAAACTAAGACCGACGACATGCATGTGATCCCCACGGTTTCAGGGTTCGAGATCTCGAAAACATTAGTTGCTCGGCGCATCTTATCTCGAACATTTCCCTGTGAGGAGAAACACGTCTTTCAGCCTTTGCCATCGCTGCCCATGTTGCTCCAGATGCTATTCTGCAAGCAGAGAATGGTGAATGTGTGGGGCACTCATGAACGGAGCTCGGCCTTTAGGGTTTCGGGCCCGATATCTTACATGGTGGGGGCTTTAGGTTGTCAGGATACCCGGCAACTTCACCTTTCCGGGCGCCCGTGAAACTTGCAGAGAATCTTATTGGAACCTGCGGCCACAGAGCTCCTGCAGGCGGAGGCGAAGACTTCCTAACCGCAACGTAATCTCCAACTCTATGCGCTAAACCCCAAGCCCTCAAACTCCAGGCAATTCAGCTGTAGACACTATGCAGCCAGGACTTCAGATGGCACGCTGCTGCCGCCTGAGGCTCCGGGCGCGGAGGGCGAGCTCTTGCTGGCAGGCTTTCCTTGAGCGAATAATTGTGGAGTTGTTTCCCGGGCTTTTTGTTAAGTGTTCTTACAGAGCTTCTATAGGGTCGGCATCGCATGGGTTTAGCCTCACTGGGTTGTAGGGCTCGTTGCAATGGATCCCTGCGCTTTTCTGCGCTCTGGAGGATCAAGAGCTGGCTCACCCGTCAAGGGTTTCACACGCCCTTTGCACGGGCGTTGTGGCAGTTTTCGAATGGCTCCAGCAACGGAGGGTATGTAGAGTTCCAAGGGGTGCGGAACCTGAGACCATTCCGTTCCGCCTCGCAAGCCTTCAGGTGAAGTTGCGGGTGTAGGGTGGCCGAATCCCTGAGACCTTGGACAGGTTGGGACCCGAACTTATTCATATCATGTTTATTCTGCAACTATCTCAACTCGGTGCAGGGAGGGCATGCATGGCTGTTTTCTGGGTCTGTGGAGCTGGCTGTCAGAAGCCACGTGCCCGTTGAATTTCAAGGGTTTCTGCTGGATCTTTTGGAGGTGCCACGGTGTCGCCTGGCTATGTCGGCGAAGCCGGGAGGCAGCATGCAACGGTGTTTTTGGCCTTTGTGTGTACACCGTTCTGGTGGCACAGTATGTCTCGGCGGATTTTGTTCAACTTGCGCAGTTGCTTCCCCGGGCCTGAAGATCAACGCCCCACTAGTGAGGGCAAGGCTTCAACTAGCTGAAGCCTTGGACTTGTGCTGTAACATGTGTCGAAGTAGGAGGCGCTGGTTCTTTTGGGTGCGTGGCTCTCCGGAGTTCTTTGGCTTGGGAGAATAGTCCCCAAAATTTCCAGAGCCGGAATGCCCGCAACCTGCCTTCAGGGTGGCCACAGTCAGCGATGCTGAAAGCTGCTTCGCTTTGCATAGAGCTGCTCGTGCAGGGCTTCAGCTCTTGCGAGGCGTACGGATTTCAAGCAATGGTGGAGCTGCGTCGGGCTATCATAGACCACAATTCACAAACTGACAAGCCCGAAGATCGACACAACGTCTTCTCTCCAGTTCGAAAACGGGACGACAAAGTGCAGAACTCGACCGAACAAGCAGCTGCCATTCCTGCAATTTCGGACGCTTCCGGAGCACTCTAGGCTTCTTCGAGTGGAGACATGACTTGAGTCTTCATCCATTCCTGTTACTATGCTTCATGACGAGTGCTCTTGCTGCAGGAGGGACGAAGCGGCTGACCTGTCACCTTCTTTGTGCTGGTGTTAAGGTTTGCACGAATGGATCAAGCAGGCTATAAATATCCGTGCTCTATCTACACCTGAAGCCTGCAATACACAAAGGGTTTCAGAATGCGAAAATAGTTCAAGAACGGACCTCGCAATTGCTAGAAGCTCTCAACCCCAAACAACACCACGTGCAAAGCATTGAGAGTCCACAGATCAGACCCTGTCCCGCCGAACGATCGCAGTTTTCAGGTATATGCTGGTTCAAGGGCACACGGTACCTGCGGACACATGATCGCCTCCGATCGGTGGAGGTGCCACGGTTCGCAGTTCGGTGGCCCTTGAGCTGGTTTCGCTGCGAGAAACCGCTGTGTAACGCAGTCAGTCCACTCAATGCAGTGTGTCTGGCTTCGCCAGTTTTGCGTGAGCCTTCTTGTTTCTTTTGCCCCGGAGAAGTTCTGTACCCGGGTCTCTTTGCCCCAGAATAGGACGACAGTCCAGGTATGTACTGTGTCGGCAGGATTTCTTTGGTCCGACGTGTTGTATTTGGAGATGCTTGCCTTGACCAGATGTCCGAGTCATGCTAGAATTCCTGCACGTCGTAGAGAAGGACCTATGCACGGAGACATAGAGAGGACTTAGATAGGTAGCAGAAAGCCGCCAGATAGCCCAGCAACAAAGGCAAAGGTTCAAAGTCGCGTGACCATCCTTTGGGGCAGTTCTGTCCTTGGTCGAGGTCATGTAATATTAATTACTGGTTTCGACCATGAATAATGTCACGACCTGCTGTCCATTTACATCTGTGTGTATCCATCGTACCTGCAGCCTGGCCCACTCCACGCTACCACCTGGCAACAGAGCTACTGCAAGTTTGAATACCTACGTGCTGTACAAAGGGCTAGTGAAAACCCTTGGTGTTCACTTCAAGGCTGGGCGCTTGGTCTTCTGCGGACGCCTTGGCTCATTGGCAAAGCGCGGTGGTCAGTTTGTGGATATCGAGGCCGGGAACCTGCAGCCGAAAAGCAGCTGGGAGTGTGGATTCTGATTCCCCATCTTCTACCATCTTGAAGCCACATCCCCCAGCAGAACAGCTTGATTCTGCAGCATATATATCTCCCAAAACCAATCTACCACCTGGAAGAGTTCGCCCAACTGACTTTCGGAGCTTGTCATGTTCAGCCATCTTTAAACTGAGTGTCAGATCGAAGATTTTGAGCGTTTCTCTGTAGAATCTCGCAAGTCACGATGCTTCCAGAACCAATGGTTCAAAGGACAGGCAGTGCTCACGCCCACAAAGGACAGGAATCATAGTAGGAAGTTTAAAAAAAAAACTAAGCCTACTAAGCCTTGAAACTCCAAACCCTTCAAACCTTTGAAAAGCCCTCGAGGAAGCCTACAAGCTGCAGACGGAACCCAAAGCGACGCTGCTTTTTAGCTCAGGCCTTGGCCAGTTCTCTGGCCGCCACCCCAGGCGTCGCAGAAGGGACCGTCCTCTCCGGACCCGAAGCCCTCGAGGCCCAAGGACCTTTAGACTTCTGGGAGGCTTGTGGCTTGTGGGGTTTTGAATTGTGGCGTAGACTGCGGGAAAGTGTTGGGGCTTGGCATAGGGGCTTGAAAGGTTTGACGTCTTTAGATTTAGCTGTTAAGTTCTCGAGTTTTACATGGAGGCTGCGGAACAGACTGTCCAGGGCATGACGGATTCCCATGAGAACAAGGCGTGCCGACAGGCAATATGACATTTTTGACACCCGTTGCCACCTTCTGTTTATGCACAACAACAAGCTCTACTTGCAGGCCATAGCAAGGTCGCAAAAGGCCTTTGGGGGCGCCCAGCTACGCCAGCGCATAGCCTGGCTGCTCGCAGTCCGTCATGCTCGAAGACTCCCCCTCGGTAAAGCTAAGAAACCACACTCTAGGGGAACCGGGCTCCGCTGGACTAGCTTCTGTGTCAACCCTCAACCCAGAATTTGAAGGAAGAAGATCATAAGGCCGAGCTAACTTTAAGCCGACACCGCAGCTCGAACTGCATGCAGGCATTCGTTACCCTGGAGGCCAGTGCCTAGGATGGTTCATGGTTTTCCTTTTTGGGTGGTTCAGCCCGATTTGAAAGAACAAAATCCCGAGGTTCGGGCGAATTATTTTGGGATGTGTGTCAACTTGGCTGGTGAGTGAGTTCACGCTTGAATGCATTCCGTAGGACTAGGCAAGTGTTGGGATGTTAGGCTTTGCCCTAGCCACTGCCGATGCTCGGTTGATTCACGGACAACACTGGCAAAAGCCATAATGCTGACCACAAGCATACCATCTGTGAACCAAGTGGTAGACGAGGTAAATGAATACTGAACAAATCGGTTAAGTTCGCAACGGCTTGTGAACGTTGTAGCAGTTGTAAATTAGATTATAAAAGTACTCAACAAAGCTGGTATAAGACAGTTCAGTGGAGCAGGGCTTAAGTAAATGTGTGTGGTGTTTTCTTTATGGCACGGAGAGCGCAGCACAAACGAAAACTTGATGGCTTTCGAAATATGACTGAGCTGCACCTTGCACCGGTGAGGAGGAGGCATTGTGGCGTGGTCGGCAAGAAGCGCAAAGATCGTCAGTTTAAAGGGGCCTGTCGGAGTGCATCTGAGCTGTCCGTGGCCGTAGTGCTTATCAGCGTAGGACGATGGGCATGGTACTGGTATTGGGAAATTGGATTTGGGAAGTGTTGCGGTTTTGCTCTGGTTGTGACAGAAACGAGACTCACGCCGCACATGGCTGCTGCTGTTGTGATAGGCATGCCTCGCACCCTTAGGGCTCAAGATGCCTATCCGGATATGTCGGTCTCGAGATTTGTGGAATTGGGGGGCTGTGATTCTTGCAATTTGAACCGGGGTGTCGGGTGGGGGTTGTTGTGCGTGATGCAAGGAATTGGACAGTTGTGGACGTAAGGTTGAGGATAATGCAAGGCCTCAGTGCTGCAAGCAAACATCGAGCAAAGCTTCAAGACGCACTAGTAACACCATTAATTCGATTCGCCGCAGGTGCAGGTCCCTAGGCAGTCTGCACTCCCAGGGCTCGGAGACAGCCTCCCCTTCTGCATCTCAAGTCCGCAAAGCAAACACCGAAAACACGACACTAAACTTTGCAGGTTCCAGCTTCGCCGATGGAACTTAACCCGGTGAAACGTTGAACCTTGGAATCTTGTTTTTGTTTTCTGTCTATACCTCCCTGCCGTTCAAACGGGGCACTAACTTCTGGAGATAGATTGAACTTCCGAGCCCGAAAGGAACCCTGCTGTAAATTTGTAGAGCCCGCTAAATAAGGGCTTCGTCCTAGGTTGCGACCTCTCACGGAGACGCTGTCGGCGGCGGCGCGGGCAGCAGGTTGGCTTGACGGGTTCTTTTGAATGGGTCTATGGTCTAGGGCCTGGGGCCTCTGGCTTAGACTCGCTTGAAAGCTGAGACATGTCTCAGCAAACTTTCAGTACAGGTGAAGCCCGTCCCTCTAAGTAGCCCCAACAGGCAATGCTCACAGCATCTGTTGCGTGCACCCACTCCAGATCACCAAACCACACCACACAGAACCCAGAGGGAGCAGACTGCGGGTTCTGTCAACAAGCGAGCAGCGAGCACATGTACAGACGTGCTCACATAAGCGGTTAGACGTTATAAACTCATAAACGCTGATAGCACACGTCCCTCTTTTGCGCAAAGGCCTCGGGTGTCGTTGCTTTGACGCCAGCTTAGAAGTCGGAGGTTCCATTCAAGGCAGATCTTGGGGACAGCTGTGGTTCCTGCAGGAGCTTGGGCCCAAGTTCCGGAGCTGCGGCTCTGAAATTATCATGTCAAGCTTGCACTTTCGGGTTAGTTCGAAGCTCATGACAAGCCCTCCATGCCATTGCTATAATGGGGCTTAGGTTCAAGCGTTTCAATCTCTGCGAGGCCACCCGAAAAAGACTCCCACGGATACCCAGACAAAGTCTCCTTAATACGGGACTGATGCAACAGTCAGAGCCATGTCAGTTCATTAGGGCAGCTCTCTGAGGGTTTGCTTATGTTTGTTTTGAGTTTTCCAGAATGTACTGCATGGTACAGCACTCTTTCACCGTTCACCAATTGGGGAATCACAGACCGCACTCGCATTGAATTATACCTGGATCCGTCAGGATCCGGCGTTCGCCTGAATGTTCGAAATGCGTTCCGTGGCTATGGGAGGAGAGTGTCGTTTCCTTGTTTTGGGGTGTCGTCCTAGACGTTACGATCAAGGTATGCCCAAACAAGAAGCCTCAAACCCCAAGCCCTGAAGCTCTTGCAAGGTTCAACCGATTGTTCTCAGCTTGTGTTTGGATCTAGAAACCTGGAAGGCAAACGCATCTTCAAGCCTCAAGTCACAAGGAGCAGGAGCAGCAGCAGCAGCAGCAGTAGTAGCCGTAAAGATTGGGGTAGGGGTAGGAGTAAGGATATCGAAGGAGGAGGAGGAGGAGGAGGAGCAACAGGAG